TTTTAAATTTCATTGCCAGAGACAAGGACAAAGATGTTGCATAGAAAGTTAACAAAAAGTTTATTATCTACATTTTATAGATTTAAATTTTTGTAGAGTAAAATATATTTCCAAGTGAAGTCAAACTCGGACTTAATGAATTTTCATACAAACAGCTCTAGAATTTAATAACAAAAGGCAAAGCGCATTCTGCCGCTATCAAGCTGGCCTTGTACTCATGATTGTCAATCAGTCAGCCAGTCAGTCAGTCAAGATGAAAAGAATTTTGTATATGAAGATGCATAGATTGTATAGTTTATTCGCCTGTCCTTTGCAGTAACTATGAACTGTGGCATGTGGCAGGGCCAGCAACACGCATTGCCATAAATAATGACGCAACAAGCAAACTTCCAAAAATGCAGCTGTATGGGTGTGTGTGTGTGGGTGTGTGCTGCGTGTGTGTGTGTTATAAATTCTTGTGCGCTGCGTTAAATGTCTGCGATTTATCATAATAACAACAACAAAACATCAACAGCAGCACTCAGCAGCGAGCTCTATACAAAGAAAATTAAAATGGCGGGTGTGCGTGCATGGATGTATGTGTGTGTGTGTGTGTGTTTGTGTGGAGGGTGCTATTCCCTCTAACTGGATATTGCAAAATTTGCACGCCATTTTCGCGTACGTGCAGCTAGTATCCTGCCCCACGCCCAGGTCCTTGTCATAAAGTTTAACGCATATTTTATGAAGTTTTGTCGCACCTCCCCCGTCGGCCCTTCTGCGCGATTCTCATGGCCCTTGGAATTCATTTGTAGGCGCATATTTTGTGCGTCTAATATTTGCTGACAAGCACAACAATAAAGCCCGACACATTTTGTGACATAATTTCAAGTCATAAATTGCCAATAGCTCGATGTAGTTGAAATATTTGCAAGGACTTGCCCACTCTTGCTCTCTCTCTCTCTCTCTCTCTCTCTGTCTCTCTTCCTCTCTCCCACACTCTCTTTTAGTTGGTTTAACCAGATAATATTGCTTAAAATGTTGTTGCCCCAACACTAATGAGCAGACATATGAGCTTGGCCCCACGAAACGACCCGGGGCCGCCGAGCCGCCGAGCCACTGAGCCACACTCGTGGCGAGCTCCACTGACAGCTTGCAAATGATGTTGCAGAGCCGTTAACCACATTGTCGTAAAGTCTTGTTCTTCTTCTGCTTCTGCTTCGTCGTCTTCTTATTCATTTTTTGTTGGCGCTGAGCGTAACCAGGCTCCGTGCCCATGTCCAGCCGCAACATATTGTGTCGTAAACATAATTCATCATGCACAGCTACGTCCAAGCACTACGTCCGCCGCCGCTGCCGCTGCCACCTCCTGCCCGCATTTCCTTTGCGGATTTTCCTACATTTTACGCTGTTTTGCGAAATTTTCTTATTTTCTTTTGCTCCCACTCACTCCCCCTCCCAGTTTTTTTTTGTTGTTGTTGTTGGTGTTGTTTGTTTGCCCAAAAATTCCCATCATCATCATCATCATCATCGTCGTCGTCGTCGTCGTCGTCGTCGTCCTCGCTGTGCGTTTCACATTTTAAGCATTTTTAACGCGCCAGTTGTGTTAAAATGATTTCGTTAGCCGCCAAATGACAGCCGGAGACGCAACTGATGGAAACACAGCACCCACTCACACACACACACATATATATAGATATATACACTCTCTCACACACACACACGTACATCCATTCACCTATATGTATGCTGCATATCATAATCATTATGAAAATTAAATGTCGTGAAGGCGACTAAGCGACTAAGCGCCGTATGATGCCTCTGCGCTACTGCCTCCTGCTCCTGCTACTACCACCTGCTCCTGCTGCTGCTGCTGATACTGCCTCCTGCTCCTGCCTGGTGCCCATGGCCTGTTGTCCTGGCCGGGACATCGCGATGCCTTTTACATTTGCATTTTTCCATATTTTTTAAAAGCATCGTCCGTCCACCATTCCAATTTAGCTGGCCAGCAATGAAATGACAAGGCACAAACAGAGGCAACGGACACAGGCCAAAGAGATAAGGCAAAACGTCAGCAGCAACGGCAATGGCAACCGTTTTGTTAGGGTATAAAATTATTATTTAAGCACCGTCATCAAGCAGAAAGTCAACGGGCGGCTCCTGCTCCTCACCCACTCACACTCACACACATGTGCCCCAAAAACTGGTTGACAGTCAAAGGGCTGCCCAGGCTCCCGATCTGCCTTGCCGCCAGCTAAAATCCATTTACACTTTTTTTTGTTTTTTCACTTCTCTTTAATTTTTTTTTGTTTTTTTTTTTTTTCTGTGGACCAGAGTGGATCAGCTCAACGCTCGATATGAGAATGGTTAATGGACGAGGGGTTGCTGCCAGCCCAGATGCAGGGGGCGGGCGGGTAGGTGGGATAAGGTCTGGGCATGCCATTAGAAGACACATGCGTTGGATACGGTGATCCGGGACGGAATTTTGCTGTGTAAGTGGACATTAAATTTGATGGCTTAGTGTTGTGACACTTGTCACGAGCTCTCTCTATATACGTGTGTGTGTGCGTGTGTGTGTGTAGGTGTGCTGCTGTGTATGTGTGTGTGTCTTGATGTTGATTGCGCCAGCCTTCCATTACATTAGTATATAATGTGAATATAAGAAAATTTAAGTGAATATTTTCTCTACAAAATATATAAATGTGTTAGTCGTGACAAATTAGCTGATTGGATGACTGACTGAGTGAATGCCACACTGACTGACAGAGTGACAATGACTGATGGACTGACAGGGTGATTGAAATGAACTGACTGATAGATGGAAAGACTGCAAGAATGCATTGATTGATGCCCTGATGCCGTCTGGCTAATTATTAATTGATTGATTGATTTACTAATAATGAATAAAGGGATGATTGACTTGACTGATTGACTAATTGAGTGAATGATTGATTGATTGACTACCTGACTGATTGCTTGCCAGGTTAACAAGCTGACGGCTTGACTGATGGCATGATTGAGTACCGTTGACTGAAGGATTGACCATGAGATTGATTGACTGACTGATTCGCTGTTTAACAGATTCGTAGAGTGTCGCTTACTGACTGCCTGACTGATTGATAGACAGATTGACTTTGAGACACATCAAGTGATTGACGGACTGTTCGATTGACTATTAGTGAATGATTGACTACCAAAATCAAATCAACACGTTGTGATAGCTCAAGAACTATTTATAGTATTATTTTTATTAGCTTCTTTACCAACCTGGCTTATATTCGACATTTCCGCGATACCAAACGATTTGTGCCTCCGGCTTCGCATTGGCCACGATGCACGTGAGCGTCAGATCCTGATTCTCGCGCACTTCCACCTTGGAGTTGTGGCTGTAGCCTTTGATCTCGATCGACGAAGGAGGCGCTGCAAAAGAGAGAGAGAGAGAGAGTGAGTGAGTGAGTTAGAGCATAAGTGATTAGACGACTGTTGTTATTTCAAATGCTTGAATCCAACAACTGTTGCAAACAATGCATACATCTGTGGGAGGTGGGCGTGGCAGCTAAGCTAAACAATGACAAAGCCAACCAGAGCGATACCAGCGGCAATGCTCGCTCATTATGCCACAATGCAGCACGTTGGCCATTCCAGTGGGTGGGTGTGGGTGTGTGTGTGTGTGGGAAGTGGGCGTGGCAGCCATTGTAGACGACATTGTTGTGGCGTTATGGCGTTGGCTGGCGGTTGCAGTCGCAGGTTGAATGGCCGCCAAAGTAGTGGATGGCCCGCAGCCTGACGTCTGCCAGCAGCGCCCGTTAATGTGCTCAAGTATGAGTCTCAATATTTGTGCAAACATGCCAACAGAGAGAGGGAGAGAGACTAAGAGAGAGTGAGAGAGTGAGGGCTAAGGCTGTCTAACAATGGGGCACTGCAGCAAACACATACAAACAAACAATTGTGGATAAAGTTAAGTGCACGTGTGCATTATTTTAATGCCACCTGAAGGAGTAGGCAGCCATTGCGTCTTCTCTGTGAGTAGCAGAAGCAACAACAGCAGCAGCAGCAGCGGCAGCAGCAACAACAGCAGCAGAAGGAGGAGTAGCATAAGAAAATGCTGCTACACAGAAAGTTAAAGTGAAATGTGTATGGAGCCGCGCAGTTGGGGCGCTTTTGACATGCAACATATGTTGCCTGCTGCTGCTGCTCGCTCTGGAAGTTGTTGCATGCAAAATGAGTCTGTGTGGGTGTGTGTGGCAAGCAGTTGGGACGCGGTGTCAGAGCCAAAGCCACCGCCACCGCCACCGTGTAAGCCACCATGTCGAGGTAATTGCTTTTGTTGCTACCAAATAAAATCAACACCCTGTCCGTCCGAGCGACGAGCACTCGCCCTCGTCCCGCTCTGCGCCTCCTGCTCGGGCTTACTGCATTTGATAGCCTCAGCGCTGGTCGGAGATGCCCTCGGTGCCTCGAGGCTGGCTTGCGCGCGCGTTGTTTGTGAATTTTATTTGCCTGGCTTTGGGCGCATCAAATTATTATGCACAAATCAAATATACAAACACAAAATCCCGCGACGCACAACAAAAACACAGACACTGAGGCGTGAACTTGTGTGTGTGTGTGCGTGTGTGTGGCTGCGCGTGTGTGTAGTAGTAAGGTTGTTTATGCTCGCGGCACTCAATTTCCCTTATCCAGCTCTCTATGCGCTTCGCATACTTTTATTCAACAACGCGCATAAGAAATATCATGCCCGAAAAAAAAGTCAACTCAACTAACTTTTGGCATTGCGTATACTTAATATGTGATATATAATAACCTTTTTGCTTGACTTGTGTGGAACAGATTGATGACATTAATTGTCTATTGAATTACAGATATTACAGGGTTAGCTTAACTCAAAACAGATAAACTAATAAAGGTTCTGTAAGAAGTGCGTATACGTAATGTGAGTAAATGTAAAAAAAAAGAGTATCAGAGTAAAGTTTGCTACTTTTTTCCTTTTGTTGAATATACGTATACGTAATATATTTAGTAATCTATTAAATCATTCAACTTTGATATAAAATAATTGACTGTCACATCGCTAAACTCTTTCGCTTCTCTCTGCGCTTCTCTCTGCTGTCAAATAATATATTAATATAAATTCAAAGCTACCTTTCTCAGTACTTCGAGCTATACGGAATGCAAGTAATCGGGCATCTCATATAGGATTCGCTTTACTATCTGCACTTCAGTTAACTTCACTCATTTGCTCAGCCGTTTCTCTCACTCTCTCTTTCTCCCTCCCTCTTTCTCTCGCTTTGCTGTCAAGCAATATAACGTGTCGTTTCGTTCTCGAAAAATAGATACCAGATATTTTATTTGAATCTGTCCTCGTCGACAGCGTCACCCTTAAGTGAAGGCTCTTCTGTGCAAATTGGTGTCGCAAGGACGCCCCAAGCAGCGTTGCGGCTGTCGGGGCACATCCGCGGGCACCGAAAGGGTTTCGGAACATTGAAAATTCATAATATTTGCCATATTGCAGCAGCCACGCAGTGTCACGTTGTGCGCTGCGCGCGTGTTGCACAGTTAAAAGTAACAGAAAAGTTGCATGTGCTCGACATGGAGAATTTGAGATACTCTTTATGTGAACGTTTGGAATTACTGAGGTATTGATTGATTAATGACCAATGATTGAATCATGACCATCGGATGGAACAATATGAAAGAGTTGGGTTAATGTATTTGAGATAGATTCAAGATTGAATTCCGTTAGAGCTAGAGCCAGGACACGTTCATTTGAACTAGTTCATATGAACTAGTTCATTTGAACAAGTTCGTAAATTTATACTTTTTGTTTTCAGAGAGAGTGGATCAGCTCGTTGCGGGGCGACGCTCGATGAGGGATGAGGGATTGCTACCAGTTCTGATGCTTTGGGGCGGGCGGATAGATGGTATAATTAAATTCAGATAAAGCTAGTGCCAGGACACGTTCATTTGAACTAGTTCATTTGAACAAGTTCATAAATTTATACTTCTTGTTTTTCACCTCAGAAAGTGGATTGGCTCGTTGGGCGACGTTCGATACAGATGCTGTTAATGGATGAGGGGTTGCTGTTAGTCCTGATGCAGGGAGCGGTCAGGTAGGTGGAATAAAGCTAGAGCCAAGACACGTTTATTTGAACTAGTTCATTTGAACCAGTTCATTTGAACTAGTTCCTTTGAACTACTTCATACATTTACACTTCCTTGTTCTTCACTTCTTTCCAATTTTTTGTTTCTTCGCTCGTTGCGGGGCGGCGCTCAAAACAGAAGCTGTTAATCGATGAGCTGCTAGCCCTGATGTTGGTGGCGGGCGGGTAGGTGACATAAGTAAATTCAGTTCAGCCAAGATACGTTCATTTGAACAAGTTCATAAATTTATACTTCTTGTTTTTACATCAGAGAGTGGATCCGCTCGTTGCATGGCGACGCTCGATGAGGGATTGCTACCAGTTCTGATGATTTGGGGTGTTATAATTAAATTCAGGTAAAGCTAGAGCCAGGACACGTTTGTTTGAACTAGCTCATTTGAACCAGTTCATTTGAACCAGTTCATTTGAACCAATTCATTTGAACTAGTTCATTTGAACCATTCGTAAATTAACTACTTTGATTTAAACTATGTTGATGGTCATTACCAACATTCAGTACTTGTATATTATATGATGATATTCCTATGAACCAGTTCGATCAAACGGTTTACTAAAATCAACTACTTGACTCTTTCTGCTTTTTTAGTGAGCGATGTGATACATTTCTAAACAATACTTTTTAATAAGTCATTTAATCATATATGAACTATTAATTTGATGAACTTAATCAAGAAAAATTCTTTCCTATTGCTGATCATATATATATTCAAATGAGTGAACCAAGTTTTATGTTACAGATTGAGCTAGTTCACTAAATTGAACTCTAACTTATAGGGCATAAAGTGGAATTTATATGCCCTTATAAACATTTTATGAATCAGCTTTTGTACAAAGTCGTTCCAAATGCAGTTCGATTTGTAACAAGAAGCTGCTGTAGGTCCTGAGGCAGCGACGACGACGCGCACTGAGCACCTACGCAGCTGGAGTGGGTGCCGCTGAAGGTCCTCTCGAGCGCCGACACTTGATGGGTTGGCAGGAGGCGGGCCTGGGGAGGAGGCGAGCAGCTATATGCATTGTTGATTGGTATGCAAATTGTATTTGATTATTGACATGTGCGAGGCGCATTCAACAACGACAATCATTCAGTGTAGCCGAACGAGCAGGAAGGACGCAGAGCTAGAAGAATGCGAAGGTTGTCCTTACAATTGGCGTTACATGCGATTATGAACGAGCTTAGAGAAGGTGCCACAGCAGGTGGCATGCAGGTGGGTAAGCTTCACTCACCCCTCTCCCTATCGAACCCCAAACATACGAGCGTTGCAGCGATTCGTTGATTAAATTTTATGCACTGCCCCAGCAGCAGCAGGAGTAGCAGAAGCAGCAGCAGGTCAGACGGCGGGCTGCTGCGAGGTGCCTGGCTGCAAATAATTTATGCAGCCATTGTTGGGCTGTAGCAGCAGCAGGAGCAAGAGGAGGAGGAGCAGCAGCAGCAGCAAAGTGCAATTTGCCATGAATTCAGGCAAAGCTGAAGCTCAGCTCAGCCCGCTAACCCACTAATAGTACGCCTCATAAAAGTTTTATGCGCTGAAATATTTCTCGACTCTATTTTTTTTTCATTCCTATTTTTTTTTTTTTTTCATTTTTGCAGGACAAGAATTGGCAATTTTTCCATTTGACGTCAACTGTTTTGTCGGGAGGAGTCTGGAGACAGCCCCAGTGAGTTGAGTGACTGAGTGGGTTGCCGAGCTGAGTCGATGGGTCGCTGGCCCTGACTTTAAGGTCCGACAAAGAACAAAAAAAAGAACAACAATAAATGTTTGGCCATATTTCAAACAGGCTCACGCCCTGTGGGCAGGGTTTAGCCCCAAACTTTGATGATTTGCACGACAATTACGATGCGATTACTCGACTCAAATGAGCGGAAATGCCAGAAATTTTGGAGCATTTGAAAATCATTAAAGCACATTTATTGGCTGCCAGTGTCAGCGCACCAAGTGTGTGGCCCCATCCCAGCGCCATTTCCATTCTGAAGTGCAGGCGGCATTGCATAACAGAGGGAAGCAAAAAAAAAAAAAAAAAAAAAAAAAAATGTATGAAAAAAAGAATTGTTTCTCCTTTTCTATTTTTTGCTTCTTTTCCATTTTTTTTTTTTTTCATTTTTGTTCGCAGTGCTGCTTTGTATTCAAAATTTATAAAGGCAGCTCTGCTTTTTTGGGGGCTGTGCATGCCTGGAATTCCATTGTGCCAGGGCACGGAGCAGCTGAATCGCCATTGCCCAGACTCCAACCAGAGCCCAAGCCCAAGCCCAAGCCCAAGCAC